AACGGAGGATGCGGTTGACAAGCTAAGGGGTAAGCGATATTTCTTTGCTACTGTCCTGCCATTTGTTGACGGTTATGTCTCGGAAGCCATGGGACACGACGCTCGGCGTGCTAGTGGGTTCGCTCGAGGTATGTTGGGGCGCGGTCAAATCATTCAGCAAGTCGTAGACCCGAGTGGGGTCAGAGTATGGGTAGCTGGATCCGACCCTCGCGCAGATGGACATGCCGCTGCACAAATATGAGCCCGACTACTAGATAGGTATGTCTATCGATGCGGCGACACATGCTGTAGGTCGACGTGATGTAGTTATCGCAATGTCCAAGAAAATCCTCATGTAAATGTATTAAGTGGAGGAGCGGTAAAGCTCCTGCATCAAATGATCTATAACTTATCAATGTCAGCTGCAAGATAGCTGCAACTACATCCTTCTACATCCTTTGTAACCTCTCCGCGCCGATCATTGCGGTGAGTCTGTTCTCCCTGAAAGGTTTCGTGCGGTCTGCGCCAGTGACCTTACCCCATCCAGCGAGCGGCACGACCAGAGCCGTTAGATTGTCCTGAGACGCCATATCAGATGCGAAGGATACAATACGTTGGGCAGCTTCACGTGGCGTCGTGGCACCCCTTGCTAAGTCAGAGATTTCTTCGTCAGAAACGACAGAAGATACACCATCAGAGACAAGAGTGAGATGCGAATATTCAGTGCCTGTGATCAGAACCAATAATGAGACCAACGGCTGGAAAGAAATAACACTATGCACTGACCTTTCAGAAGTTTAGAGCGAACTTCGGGCTCGGGCGTGACACCAAAAGGTTTGTACTTCAGATCGCCCAGACTACGCACACGGTCTTCAGGAACTGATATTAATTTCATGATGGATAAAGCACGGACCTCCTTGTGTTTTCCAGGGCACCCATCCATCTATGATCATCTATTAGAATCGAGAAGATTCTGGTTGGATAGTAGGTCTATACCGTGCCTCCCCAAATGAATCGAGGGTTAACCCACTTCCCATCGTTCTACGTAGCCTATGTGCCTCAATTCGAGTATCAGGGTGGTGATTCTCCGTCATTGGCGAGACTCTTCCGCCATCTATTGATGTCAAGAGAACTCGAGTGTCCCTGAATGAACGCTTCAGCAGACGGACAGTACGTGGAACACTGGTAATTACCCAACGTGAGCCACGGTTAGGGCGAGTCGCTCCGAAGCGAAAAAGGGAGAGGCACGACTATCTATAGAATGCAATAACACAACCGATGCGGTCGCACCGCATTCTTTCGCAGCCTGCTCGATTGCGAGCAGACGATCTATCTAATGAAACATGGGTCAGCAGACCGAGGTAAGCTGATGTAACAGTAAACTTTGCGATATGGAATGAACACACTGTACATACTTCGAAGAACGCTAAAGTCGCTCTGGCCTCCAAATCCAGTTTACGCTGCGCGTCTGGACTGCTAGGTTTAGCCCAGGCACTAAGTGCCCCTCCTCTGAACCTTCTGAAATAGCCACCCAGTTCCTTCGCCCAGGCCAGTAGCTCCGGTACGTGCGCTTTGTCAGCGGACTCAAATAGCCCGTGAAGCTCCTGACGCAGATACTGCGAGACCGTTGATCCGCCGTGACCGTCGTAGATCCCAACGAAGAGCACCTGTCTTGCCAGGGATTCTGGAACGTTGGAATGGTCCCAGTCAACGTTATGGGATTTCTTGAGGCTGAGACTGAGCTCTTCTGGATCCAGAGAAAGTGCAGAGAACGTATAGAAGTCCTCTTGGTAACTGAGTAGATGATGAATGGGTCGCGTCAAATAGAGGCAACCAGAATGCATACCTCCGATTACCCCGAGAATTAGCGACGCCAATTATTTTTGGGTTATTGAGGGGGACACGACCTGTTCCATCTAAGTCGCAGATGAAGAAGGAAAGTGTTATGCTGAGTGCAAGCGGACCTTACTTGGCGAGGTAAAACGGATGTAGTCATGATAATGAGCTATCTTCCCTGTGCAAGGACTTGAAGGTGGTCGAAAGGACAGGACGGGTCGTATGAGTCGTAGAGCCATGCGATTGTGAGAGCCGTCCCATGAACTGAAGCATGGAGGACGGTCGCGGACGATGTTCAAGTTGAGCACGCTAAAGAGAATCAATCTCATGTGCCCAACCCTAGTTTAGGGGCTGCGTTAGTCAGTTCCAATGCCGCTCGCAGCGCTTGCGCGTCACAAAGTCTTTCCCGGCCGAGTCCTCTCACAGAACGACTCATCCTCCTACCACTATGATTCCTCGATCCCTCCGTGCCTCAGCACTCCCTGGGCGTCGCATAGCTCACATCTCGAGAACAGGATGGGCACAGTCGTCTATCAGGGCTCTAGCTACTCCCTCACATCCGCCCCCCAACAACGAGCGGAAGCCGGAGAAGGACGGAGAGCAGGAGAAAGGGAAGGAGGTGGGCAAGGAGGATGGTTCGACTCCTACAGAAGGGAAGCAGGAGGGGAAGCAGGAGTCACTCAAAGGGCTTGAGGGGTTTTTCCGGCGCTATCATCAACAACAGAACGACTCTAAAGATCAATCCTCTAATAAGAATGAGAAGGAGCCTAACAAGTCTCCCCCTCCGCCCGGTGGAAGTGGGAATAATGGGCTCAATACGAATCAGCTAGCATTGCTCGCAGCAACTGCCGCCGGTTTCTACGCTCTCTCTAATACCACTTCACTTGGTTCGCGCGAAATCACATGGCAGGAATTCCGCACCGCTTTTCTTGACAAGGGTCTGGTCGACAAGCTTGTCGTAGTCAACCGAAATAAAGTACGGGTCAAACTCCACTCCAATGCCACCGGTACAATGTACCCCTCCTCGACTTCCGGCGGGGGCGACTACTATTTCTCGATCGGTTCGGTCGAGGCTTTCGAGAGGAAGCTTGACGATGCGCAAAGGGAGTTGGGAATCCCCTCCCACGAGCGAATACCTGTCGCATATCATGAAGAGGTGTCCAATATGAGCCATCTTATGAACTTTGGGCCAACACTTCTTGTGATCGGGATGTTCTACTTTTTCTCAAGGAGAGCTGCAGGGGGCGGTGGGTCATCTGGGGGCATTTTCAGTATGGGGAAGAGTCAAGCAAAGATGTTTAACAAGGATACGGATGTGAAGGTCAAGTTTGCGGACGTTGCCGGTATGGATGAGGCGAAAGAGGAGATTATGGAGTTCGTTTCTTTCCTAAAGAATCCAGCTAAGTACGAGAAACTCGGTGCCAAGATCCCTCGAGGCGCAATCCTTTCAGGTCCTCCCGGTACGGGAAAAACTTTGCTCGCCAAAGCCACTGCAGGAGAAGCCAACGTACCATTCTTCTCGGTTTCCGGCTCAGAGTTCGTGGAAATGTTTGTCGGTGTTGGTTCGTCTCGTGTACGGGACCTCTTTGCGACGGCCAAGAAGAACGCCCCATGCATTGTTTTCGTCGATGAAATCGACGCCATCGGCAAGGCTCGCGGTCGAAAAGGTGGAATCGGTGCTAACGATGAACGCGAGAACACTTTGAACCAGCTCCTTGTGGAGATGGATGGCTTCGGCACCCAAGAGCACGTTGTGGTTCTCGCTGGCACCAATCGCGCTGACGTTCTCGATCCCGCTCTGATGCGCCCCGGTCGTTTCGACCGACACATTACTGTTGATCGCCCTGATGTGGGCGGGCGCAAGGCAATTTTCCTCGTACACCTTCAACCTATCCACCTATCCGACAAGCTGCCCGAACGTGAAGCGTTTGCGCAAAAGCTAGCTGTATTAACTGCGGGATTCTCTGGTGCAGATATCGCCAACATTTGCAATGAGGCTGCATTACATGCGGCGCGAAAGCTGCATGAGGCCGTTGAGGAATCCGACTTCGAGGCTGCCATCGACCGTGTCATGGTCGGTCTTGAGAGGAAGAGCAGAATCTTGGGTCCGAAGGAGAAGAAGATTGTTGCTTACCATGAAGCAGGTCATGCAATCTGCGGATGGTTCTTGGAGCACGCTTCCCCACTCGTAAAAGTCAGCATTATTCCTCACGGCTCGGGTATTTTGGGGTATGCATCGGTATGTGTACCTGTTCGCCTCATATACTCAGAAACTCACTATATTATAGTATCTTCCTCCGGACACCTTCCTTAGCTCACATCCCCAATTGATTGACATTATGTGTGTATCGCTTGGTGGTCGTGTCTCGGAGGAGATCTTCTTCGGTATTGAGAATGTCACTACCGGTGCCCAGGACGATCTTCGAAAGGTTACACAATTGGCATTTGCCGTTGTGGCTGACTATGGTTTTAATGAGGTCGTCGGACCTGTAAGTTACCCTAGAGGGGATTTCGGGCAGAAACCTTGGAGCGAAAAGACTGGAGAGATGCTAGATTCAGAAGTACGGAAGATGATCAAGTACGTCCTTTCTCTACTCCCATCCACCGTCTATCCATATTGCTTTTAGTGCTGCTCGCCAACGGACAATGGAGCTGCTTACAAAGCACAAGGAAGATATTGAACGGGTTGCCCAACTCTTGATTAAGCAAGAAAGCATCACGCGGTCAGTATAGGTTTTTTGCATCTACGATTCAGGTTGTTCATTGTATCCATAGGGAGGACATGATCAAACTCGTGGGCAAGCGACCTTTCCCCGGACGCCAAGATGATATGGATAGATGGCTGGACGAGAATTCTCTACTGCGTGGTACTCCTCCACCACTCGAAGACGTCAATCCGGAGACGCCATTACACCCATCGCCCGCCGCAACCACAGTACGAGTCTCCAAGGGTCCGCGACTGTAGGTAATTTAGTACGCTTACCTTTGTAGGCTGTCGCATTGCTTTGAAATTTGTATCCACGCTTGTATCTTAATATTCGCACTACTCCTACCGATGTACCCACTATCCAGTATTTGTGATCCTGCCTGATTCAGGGTATAGTTTGAGTGTAAGGTTGTGGTGCGTAAGTGCTGTGGGTTTTAGTACGATGTAACAGGTGCCACACATCTGCCCCAACTATCATGGCAAGATGGCCGAGCGGTCTAAGGCGTGTGACTCAAGTTTAAGCAAGCTTGCCGGAGAACTCTGGTTTTCACATATCGAAAGGTGCGTGGGTTCGAATCCCACTCTTGTCAGTTATTTTTGGACTCATCTGAATGATTAGCGTGACTAGTTACTAGTTACTACTGACTTCAAACTTGAAGTTGTAAGTTTAAGACTCCAACCCTTTACTTTACCTTTGCACCGATGGCGTAAATATAAAGAGAAAGGGTTGTAAACACTCCATAAACAGTTTATAGAGAGTAAAGAGTAAGTTTACAACTAATGTATATTAATTTTGATCTGGAGGGTGAAGGGAATACAGAAAGGCTCTCTCATTACATTTATGATACCGTTTTCGAATTTTATGACTGGATTCCCAAACTATCTCTCAAGTTATAGGCTTAAAGCAATTGCGGCTCTGCGGGCCGCTGAATTGCGTCAATAAGCGCCCGTATCCGAGCTGCCACGATCCGTCTCAGAAGTCACTGGGTTCCTGACATAGTTTGTGAGTTAGTAAAATTACGATAAAATTGATAAGCTATCATACATGCCCTCCGCGGATTTTTAGTACGCAAAATTAGCAGTAAATCTGTGATTTCTTCTTAGATTTCTGTGTTACTAAATTGGTGGAAAATATGGACTACTTTAATATCTATTTTGCGACTTGCCATAGTTTTATACAATGACAAATTTGGAGATAAGTGATTAGCAGCTGGAAAATAGCAATCAAATTGGCAATGTTTCTGCCAATTTTTATAATACAGCAATCTGAGTAAAAATCCCAAATCTATTACTGATTTTATGTACTATAAATCCGTGGAGGGCATGTATGATAGGTTATCAATTTTATTCTAATTGTGCCAACTCACAAACTGCGTCAGGAACCCAGTGAGTGAGTACAATCGCTACTGACTTGTTACACGCACAATCGCGGTAGCGAGTCGATGCAAAGTTATGTATGTAGAGATTCATGCAAGTACGGATGTACAGGGCATGCCTTATAATTTCCTGTTAAAACTCTTTATTTACTCTTTATAAATTGTTTACACCAAATTACTACACGCCCTTCGTAAATAAAGGTAAACGTAAAGGGTTGTAACTCTTTACTATAAAGAGTAAATAATATAAAGGGTTGGAGCCTTAGTTGTAATTTGTAATTTCTCGAGGGTCGGATAATATAAAGGGCTGCGGCCTTGTTTTCATAGTTGCAAACCTGAGTTTGAACTTGAAGTATAGTACTGGCAGATACTCATGGCCTCTCTTCGAGACTTCGACTTTATTAGCGCACTCTTTGTTGCTTGGCAAAACAGATTATGGTAGCAGCTACGGATAAGGTGATATCATAGTGTGTACCTGAAACCACTCCATTGATCTCCCTTCTCGAGTCCAGCTTCCTGGACATCTTTGAAGTGGCCATTCTTGTCGTTCGCATTGGGGTTATCCACGCCCTCTAAGACCTCGTCTCTCTGACCTGCGTCTCTCCTTGCATTCTCTTTGCGCAGAAGCAAGAAAAATGATAGCGAGCATAGCCAGCCGATAGCAATGTAGGCCAACACTATGCCATGTCCTAATCTGTACCATGGCTTGTCCTGTGCTCGATACTGTGGGTATAGGATAAGTGATACGCAGTCTGGCAAAGGGGTGATCACATACCACGTTAGACGTGATGGCACCGTTCAAATTGCCCCAGCCAATTGCCATTCCGAGGGTCGCACTTCGCTTGTATGATCCTTCGACGTTACTTGACACCCAGGCACTGTGGGAGGGGGTGAGATTCGCGATGAGTCCGTCTGAAGAGTACTCACACTGAGTTGGCTGCATGACATAGCGGACGTGTTTAAAATCATATTGCAATCTGCATATTGTATCACTTACGAATTGTTGGGTATATGGAGCTATGTTCTTTTCGTCAGATAAGGCGATCTTGAACAATAAGAAGTTGCAAGACACACGAAGCGGCAAGATATACTGCAAAATACGACAACGAAGGATTCTTCGATGCAATCAGGATGATATATCCTATTAAGCCTGATACACCTTGCCGTCAGAAATACCCAGAGCTGCAGATAGGTTGTATGCACCTGAGCCAAATAGAACACTACACTACAGACGTCAGAAATAAGGACACAATCGGCGGATTGAACACTTTACAGATTGATATATCCGCGGTGGCCAATACGATCGCCTAAAACGCCGACAGCCAGGGTGACGAGACAGGCCCAGGCATAAACCGGTACAGACAGCAGATTAGCTGCTGTAGCTTGGAAACCTGGCAGATATTATTGAGATTGGGAGGAAAGGCTGCTAAAAGAGACCATATACCTAGCTGGTGTAGCGGTTAATCAGATTTATAGTCCTGAGCCCGAAGCACAGATTGCTTACCTGATTTATGATGGTTGGCGTAAAGAGAGAAAATGCAAAGAGCGGGCCGTCACTTCAAAGGATTAGGAGTATAAACGCGACACTTCCACGGATGTTGCAGGAACAACTCTTACAAGCCCATATATATGCCCACTAGTGCGCACACTTTAAGCATATGTCATCTCGACTTGTCGATAACCAACTCACTGGCGACCCAAGTCTTCCAGTCCGTAAGGCTGTCCCAGACATGTTTCATCTTGAAAATTTCGCCGCCAGCACTAAATTTCGAGTCGCTTTGAAGGCGACGAACGACCCACACCCCTATTGATGTATTAACAATGAGCCTGATAATTATATCAAGAACAATAGATCTTACGCTCTGTTTCTGTGAGAAACTTTGCGGAATCAGGGAAGTCCGCGAGAATCCAAAAAGATGCGATTGCACATAAGACGGTGAAGATGCCTTCAAGAATGAATATCCACGCCCATCCCGGCTTCCCCCCAACACCATCCATATTGGATATGGCCGCGGCCAGTAGGCCGCCTTGAATGTAATATATCAGCACCTCTAGCACAGAACAGGGAATGAACACTTACTGAAAGCACCTGCTACGGTGGCAGACGAGAAAAATACGGCAACCCTGGTCCCCAGCTCAGAACGTTTGTACCAGCTGCCAATGTTGGGTGAATAGGATTGAGTCGATGATATACGGGAACCCTTTTACCATGACATATAAAATACGACACCAGGGTATAGTCCAGCCTCTGCAAGCCCAAGAAGGACACGGAGACCTTTTTCAGACTCGTATCAGCATATGGCAGCTTACGAAAAACAGGCACTGACCAACGAGACCGGCGTAGTTGTGAATGAGGCCGTGCATCGTCTATATCGTTGATGTGAGTAGACCATCGTCGTATCTATAGCTTTCGGATACAATACCATGGCAATTCCCCAGACAAACATAATGAAAGATAACCAGCGCGCGGGGCGAAGTTTCTTCAATGCTATATTGCTTGGGGGCTGTTCAGACATTGTGGTCACCGTTCACCTCAGTGCAACAACCAATGTAGAGCTCACCTCAAATAAAGCATATGGGAAGAAAAATACCGTCAATGCAATGAGGTATTGCTTATCCGTGATATGCAGGTCATCTTGCATATGATACAACTGTTTACGTTCAAATTGGATTCAAAAACAACAGTAAATCCTGTTTACCCTTGCATTCCCAATGTTTCCGCGGTCGAGGAAGTTCAAAAGGTAGAGTACCGCAAGCCATGGCACAACGTGCCAATCGATTCTTCGCAGGAGTTTGGCCTCGTCAATACCCGACACGTCGATTTCCGGGCGGTATACGTTGTGAGGCGCCGGTTTGACTTGTACATCTTCTTCCAGGTCCTTCTCAGAAGAGTGGGAGGAGGACATGATGCCTGGGACTGAGGTACTGAAACTTGAGTGATTGGCATAGCTGGTATCGGCAGGTGTTATATACGGTAAAAAGTACAAGCCGCATCAGTTATGGAGTATCCGAAGCGCCATCGTCCACGCATTCGTCTAGATAAACTCACGCAAGAAGGTTTCAAGAGATTGGGCTGCACCGGAGCCGAGTACAACCACTTGCCCAGATCCAAGTACAACAGGTAGAGCACAAGCAACCGAGAGATAAGATGTGGCAAAAACGAATAGTCACCTGCCCATGCCATGCATGGGTCTGAATCCACTGCCACCGGTCTCCCTTGCAGGCTAGCCGGGATTCAAACGTTCAAACCAGTGTCTCCGTGCCTACCGTGGACCACGGATATCCTGTCTGATACTGCCGCTACTCCCTAATGAACAGGCAATCACTGTACAGGATAAACATGAGAATGCTATAAGCAGAATCACTATAGGCAACACTTCTCGCACCATCGACTGGGGTCACATTACCCGAATACATCGCGATATGTATCCTTCCCGACTATAGACTCCAAATGCCGCAGAGCGCAGCCTAACCACCGTCGTACGTCTTCAGGCTGGCGAGCGGATACTCTGAGTACACGACCCTTTCCGTCAGCTATATCCGTGAGGGACCAGATAAGCTCTGGACGTTTGGTATGCTTGAAGACCGAGATTGCTTGATATTGGCCAGACAGGTCCTGCATAGCTCGCTCTAAAAGCGGTCCGTACATAAGGACTGTTGCGTAGCAGGAGTAAGGAGCAAGGCTATCGGCAAGTGTACGATGGGGAAGAGGTTGGAGGTCGTCCTTTTGTTCCTCCAGGAGAAGAGCGTCCCTTGCAATGCGTTTATCATCCACCCAGACCTCATTCAGGCTGTAGTATCTTGAAAACGACCAGTCTTCTCCCTGAGACTTTCTACCAGAACTAATCCAATCGAGCAAGACGATGTTAGAGTCTGCATGTAGTCGAAAAGTCTGCAACTGGCTGTATTTTGCAGCGCGAAAGCAAGTAACAGGGTCGGGGAGGAGAATCAACGTGCTTTTTGGTGCAATGTCGACCGTCAGACGCTGCGATGTGGTGCTGCCCACGCCTGAGGTCTGTGGGCGTGCGGATCGTTGCCCTTGACGTGTCTTAAAAACCTTGGTTGAGCCCTGGATAGATATCTGAGTGAGGACAGGCTTTAGAGCGAAGGTTCAGCGCGCACCTGGGTGAGCATGACAAGGACAGACCCACCCTGCACATCTGCAAGGAGCCTCACACGATCTCCAGCTACCAACCCTCCTCCATATGTCAAGG